CACCAAGGGACACCCAGGCCTGTTTATGTCACTAGGAGAACACAGATGTGGTTGTAGCCTCAGCTAAATGCCCCTGCCATTTCTCTGTCCCAGCCCTCTCCTCTCCCCACCATCTCTGTCCCTGAAAGTCTACAGGTTCAAGGCCAGTAAGAACAGGACTACACTCACTCGGAGGCCAGGGTTTGAGGCGAGGGTGAGACTCAGGCACCCCTCCACTCAAAGCCTCAAGGACTCCATCTCGTGTACCTGGCCCTGCCCCCAGTTCCCAGCACCCAGGCTACAGACCCAGCAGCGTCCCATGTCATGATCCCCCTTTTAAAAATATTTTATTTTTATTTTATGTGTATGAGTGTATTGCTTGCATGTATGTAAGTACACTCGTGTCATGCAGTGCCCTTGGAGGTCAGAAGAAGACATCGGATTCCCTGGAACTGGAGTTGTTGATGGTTGTTAGCTGTCATGTGGGTGCTGGGATTCGAACCCAGGTCCTCTGCACAAGCAGCCAGCGCTCTTAACTGCTGAGCCATCTCTCCAGCCCCAATGATTCCCCTTTTAAGAAAAAGACGTATGAGCAGAACTATGGTTGGGTTCACTGAAGGTCAGCAGAAGGGCTCAGGCTGTGTCTCTGGGCACGGCCCCAGGTGCTTCCATGGCTGGCCAGAACCTGGGGTGGGGAAGGCTGCTAAGCAGCTGGTGATCACACACAGCTGTCCAGCCTGGAGCCCAGCTGTGAGATGCCACCATTAGTGCAGAGAAAGAAACAGGTGCCAGAGGAAACACCTGTGCCTACAATCGCATGCCTGGTTCCCATTCAAGAGCAGAGGCTGGCACCCACCAGGAAACATGTCCTGATGTACAAGCTGCGTGTCCTAACGGCTGACTGCACCAACCACCCCCCACCCCACCCCCACCCCCCCACATAGTGAGTTCCAGGACAGCTGGGGCTACAGGGAGACCCTGGCTCAAAAAGACCAAAAAAAAAAAAAAAAAAAAAAAAGTTGTTTTTTTTTCTGGGAGAACAAGGGGAAATTCCAGGGCCCTGAATGTTCCATGGCTGGTAGTTCATAGGTATATAAGAATGAAACTCACCATGTTATAAACCAAGGTTTGGTTACACTCCAGTTAAACACATAGACACAGTGACTTGTTTTCATAGTAACTATGTTTCATCTGACTTAGAAAAGACTGGCGTGTTTCTGCTATGGCTGTTGGTCAGGAGTGGCTTACAAAACCAGAACCACACTTCTGAGAAAATACAGGCGTAGGTGCCTGTGAGCCACTGGTCACATTTTCAACAACGAATCACTACCATAACCTTGTTTTATGTGTGTTTCTGTTTGAAGACGCCCTGTTTAATATGCTGTCAATCATTAACACAGACTCAGATCCACAGCAGTAGAAATCGATTACACACGCATCACGCACGCCTTTCTGTGTAAGTCAGAGTGGCCTTTTCACACTTAGGAGTGCTAGAGAGCACTTCAGTGCTATGCCCGAGGACCACTTTAACAGAACACCAATAAGCATAAAAATGCAAGACCACGGCCTAAATAGATGGAGAGAGGATCCTCCTGCGCACCATGTGAGCAGGAACAGGAAGCGAAGGACTCCCACTCCACCTCTTGTGCGCACTGCCCACTGGCGACTCACTTTCTTAATATGTCCATGAAGGACTGCAAAAGTACCCCTAGTATTGATCTTAGGGCTATAGATAAATTTTAGTGAGTAGGCAAATTCATACAGAATCTGCAAGTCTGAGATGCTCTAACAAATGCAAACAGTATTCAAATGAATACAGGCCTCACCTGACCCAAACTCCTGGCTGGCCAACCTGACCACTGTCCCTTCTCAGAGCAGCTGCCTGGTCTCTGCTCCCACGTCCCCTCCCTGGACTAGGGATAGGCCCTCCCCAGTGTCCACCTGCCATCGAACACAGCCAGGCAGACCTTTAGGGGCTCTCGGAGCATGCGTGGAAAAATACTGGAAAAGGGGAGCACAGAGGGTGCTGTGAGGGTGTCAAGGCCTTCAAAGGCACACAGCGGAGATCGTGCCAAGGGTGTGGGCCTCGACCCACCACGGCCTTCTCCCTAAAGCCAAGGTGACTGGGCTAGTCCTGCCCTTGTCAGAACACCGTCCCAGGTGCCACAGCCATATGGATGACAAGTAGATGGGTAGGTGGGTAAACGAGTGGGTGTGTGGACGTGTTTTCCCTGGCTTCATTCTATAACAGCATCAGAGGGCATCTCAGGGCACCCAGGAGGGTGAGAAAGAAAACCATTCCCAACAGTACAAGATAAAAAGCATTCTAGGAGCTGAGTGTAGGGTCCAGGGTGAAGTGTCCCCTCTGGGCCTGCAGGTAGTCACCTCCTGCACTTGGGTTTGCCTGGGACTTGAGCACCATGCCAATCATCCCACCCGGCTGGAAGGCTGCTCTCCTGGAAACACCCACGCCTGCTTGTTTGTTCCCAGCAGAGCTCAAGCTGGCAGTGCTGAGGTCTGCTCCCCTTGTTCCAATCACATTTAGTTTCTGCTTCCTGATGAGGCAGCCGTGAGCTCTCTGCAGCCCAAGGCCCCAGCATATCAGCATGAAGACACACTCAGCGTGGGCAGGTGTGTAGGCTTCTGCATGGGTGTGCCGGAGGCACAGGGTGGTTAGTGCATACCTGTATGACTGTGGACATCTAGTGCTGTGCTATGGGCAGGCATGTGTGTCCTTTCAGTTCCAAAGATAGACTAGGGCCCTTGGATGGGTGGTGCCCAGGGCTATGGTTTCTAGAAAGAACTTTCTAAAAGTCAAATGGGGCCCAGTGTGCTAGGTATGGTCAGAGGGGGTGAATTTCTGAGGCCAATGTTGTCTTCCTCCTAACCCTAGGGGGCAGGAAGACAGCTCAGGATGGGACTGGGGACCTAGCGCAGAGGGTGGTAGTGAAGCTGAGAGAGACTGTGGCACAAGTCTAATCCTAGCACTTGGGAGAACTGAACAGTAGAATCAAGAGTTCCAAGTAGAGGCAGGTAGATCTCTGTGAGATCAAGGCTAGCCTGGTCTACATAGTGAGTCAGCTGTGGCTACAGGGAGACCCTGTCTCAGAAAAATAAATAAACTTAATTAAATAAAGCAGAAACAAACAAAACAAAGAGGACTCCACTGACCTGGCCAGAGAGTCTAAGCTGAAGTCCACAAGAAAGCAGACCTCCTCCAGCAATCATAGGCACGACCCATCGGACCTGTGGCCCCTGGCCCCAGCTACCCACTACCCATCACACAAACATGAAATCACATGCATACACAGTCTCCCCCTCCTCTTCCTGACCTCAGGGACTTCTCCATTTCTGCTCTACTGACCCAAAGTCACCTTGCCCTCCTCCTTACTGTGGCCTCTGCTGGCCTGGCCCAACCCTGAGGTACAGCCCAATGGGCCGCACCAACAATGTCCATGGTGCCTAGACTGCAGATTGGTACTTAGGCCCAGTCATTTCCAACAGGAGAACAAGGGAGAAAACATCTTGGGCAAAAGTTGATGGTGGGGGTGCCGCACCCCTCTACCTCCATCAAGGCAGTGTGTCTCAGAAGCTTCTAGAAAGGTGGCCCAGCACCCTGCTGCAGCCCCTGTGTGTCTCTGGGTGAGCCTCAGGTGATGACGGCTGGCGATTCCGCCAGGACATGAGAGACCTCGCTGCTGCTGTTTACCCTACCCAGCAGTCCCAGACCAGGGCTGAAGGCCACATCCTCCTTCTGGACCAACAAGCAGTCATTAAACAGAGTCAGCCCAGGAGAGAGATGAGTTTTTCCTGCTGACCCCTACCCAGGAGGTGCCAGGCCTGGGGTGATACCAGCTGACCTGAATCTCAGCTCAGGGGAGGCAGGAAAGGGGCTGGGTATATGGCTTTCTAGGCAGAGGTACACTCCTATGAGAACTCTGCATTCCCAAAACAGCTGAGTTCCAATACAGGAACGGTCACCACGTCCCAGGCTGGAGGGTGTCCAAAAGCTAGTTTAGCACCCCTCAGTACACACTCAGCTCCCAAGGGCCGTGCCTGCTCTGGTTGGCTACTAAAGGCTGCTGCTGCCTAGGACCCCAGCCAAGGTTTCCAGGACTCTTGATGCTGGGGGCTGAGCAGAAAACACGGAACAGGGAGAGGACATTTATGGGCCACCAAAGGTGGGCTTAACCCCATGGGGGAGCACAATCGACACCCCAAGCGGCCATGGTGTGTTAGAGTAGAAGCTGCTGCCAGGCTGGCCGGCCACCTGGACTCAGGTCTGAAGGGAATGTGTCCAGAACTTCCACTCTGCCCATCGGCTACATGCCAACCACCCAGCTTGGAAGATTCAAGGCACAAGAGATGAGACCGTTTACGCATATCCATAAACCTTGTCTGTTGTTGTTGTTAATTTTTTTTTGCTCTTTTTGAGACAGGGTCTCCCTGTAGCCACAGTTGGCCTGGAACTCACTATGTAGACCAGTCTGGCCTTGAACTCACAGAGATCCGCCTGCCTCTGCCTCCCAGTGCTGGGATCAAAGGCGTGGCGCCACCACGCCCAACATGTCCATAAACCTTGGAAAAGTACTACTTCATGATGGAGAAACTGAGGCTTGGGAGGGGCACAGCCCAGACTCAGGCAGGGCTGGAAACTGGAGAAAGCTGTCTCCCACGAAGACGGGGGACAAGACACTCAGGATCAGCAGCCTGTAGCAGGGATCCTGTGTGGGAGGCAGAGTGGGACCCGAGGGGTGTGGGGAGCCTGCCACCGCCTCAGTGGGCTATGTCCACCAGACGGTCCGCGGTGGGGGCGGCCCGGAGGATGGATGCAGTGGAGCCGGGGAGGGGACTGACCCTGAGGTCAGAGGCTTCCAACCAGTCAGTGCCTTAGCATGGCCCCTGGATGTCCCACCTCCCGTCTCCACCCCTCCGGAGCCGGGTGCTGGGCTGGGCAGGGCCTCCCCGGAGACCCCACCCCGCCCCGCCTTGGCCGTCACCGCCCCCCACGTGGCCGCCGCTGGGCGGGGTGGCACCTCCCCTTCCTCCTGCGCCTCCCGAGCACCGGCTGGGTCGGATTGCTTGGGAAGACACTGCGGGGCCCGCCGCCCGCAGCCCTGGCGCGCCCGCCACCGGACGGAGCTTGATCCGCACCGCCTCCGGCTGCCGCTCCCACCCAGTAAGTCTGCATCTTCGGGCCCACCAGGAACCCGGCGGGAAACTGAGTCCGGGAGGAGGGAGGGGCTCGGCTGGGGCTGGAGAGCGGGCTCCGGGGTGGTGATGAGCGGACCCCCGGCGCGCGGCGACCGGGAACGCCGGGCCCCGCGCCCGAGACCAGACCCGGGGGACCCACGCGCCGCGGTGTGAGGCGCTGCCCGCAGGGTGGTGGCCGAGGGTCGGCCTGGAGGACTTACCCGCCTCGAGGCTACCACATCCTGACCGTGAATCAGCCGCAGTTGAGAAAAACTTCAACTTCGGATCCGCAGCCCCGGTGGCACTGTGCTGGCCCTGCGGCCCCGCCCCGACGACTGGGCCTCTAAAGATGCCAACGTGGGCTTCTAAAGATGCCACCCCACTGGCAGGCCTGCCGGAGGGCCTTGTGGAACTGACACCTGGCAGCCCCCATCCCAGGGAGGGACACGGGAAGGAAAGTGACCTTAGTAGGGAACCTGAGTGATCAGCTGTGCGTCCATGCATGACTCCCCAGCTGTCCCTGGGGTGGGGAGGGGTCTGTTGGCCTGTCTGTCTCCGTCCCCAGCCACCCAAGGCCCCATGTCACACAGTGGCAGGCCACAGCCAGACACAACAGGAGTCAATGGCTTGGCCTGCCTGGGCCACAGGTCAGGACGCCCACACTGAAACTAGAGTTGGGAAGTTGCCTTCCTACCAGCCCTGCCTTTTCTGGGGCTCAGTTTCCCCGCCTATACTTGAAGGATAGTGACAGTGCCTCAGGCATCAGAGAAAGAAGGGTCACAAAGCAACCGTCCAGATCCTCTCAGGGTGTCACCCAAGGCAGAGGGCTTTGGGGAGTGGATACTGAACCCCCTTGTAGCAAATATGGGTGTTTGTTCCAAGACTAGGATCTGAGACTTCTCCCTGTCCCCACCCAGTGGGTCTGCACTGTTCAAGTTGACCTGGCTGGACCTTCCTGGGACCAGGTAGGAGCTGACCTTGCCCCAACTCTCCCCCGACTCCCATCCTTTTCCTCTAAGCTCTCTAAAGTCCCAGTGCAGCACCCCTCCAGGAGGGGCAGCCTTCCTCCAACCCACATGGGCCAACTGCTGCCAAGGATTCTGCTCCTGGGCAGCAAAGAGTTAATCTTCAGGTGAGGCCCCTCACTTTGTGGGGGTGCTGATGGCTGTCTAGCTAATTGCACACACCTCCTGTTCTGGGACCTGGAAGCACCTACCTTAAATAGATCATTCGTCTTTTATCAAAGTGCACTTGTTCCAAATGGGAAAAGTTTTCAGGCTCTTGAATATTGGTGGGGGATGACTTTGCAGGTGCTACCGGTGGGTGCAGGCCCACTCTCAACAGAAATAATGGGCATTTTTCTAGAATAGGCTAAAGTCCTGGCCTCTGAGGTGTCTTGGTCCCCATAGTCTTAAAGGATAGGCCTGGTGCTAGACTGCCTGGCCCTCTCCTCTACTCCTGTCTTAAACACAGCAGATGTGTAATAGGTGTATAGTTCTTTACCTGGTAGCCATCAAGTGGTAGGGACAGCATACCTACCTCTTTCTAGAGTGAACTTTCTAGAACTTTCTAGAGTGAATTTTGGAGCCAGTCTCTTCAGGGCTGCCCCTTGGGGCCTCAGGAGAAGCAGGCGTAGTTGTACCTGATACAGTCAAGGAGGGTGGACTCCCTGTCACTGGAGGGTGAGGGTAGGGTCTCAATATGTGGCCTCTTCCCTGCCAACCTGACCTAGTGAGTAAGGTCCAACACATACCACATCCAGCGAGACATGAACCAGGCAGAGTGCACCAGCTGGGCCTCTCCTCTCTTGTACCTCATTCTTAAGGTGTGATTACCTAAGGGACAGGGTGGAGGGTACTCAGGGACTCCCCTCTGTCAGGGCCACCCACATCACACACACCCCCGAAGCACTAGCCCCAACTCCTACTGTCCTCTCACCTCTCACAGCCTGTGAGCAGAGCTGTGTGCTAAGTAGACAAGCCAAGGACTGACGGAACTCGTGTGGCACCCTGGCCCTCGCTCCCTCTCATGAGTGTGCGCACTGCCATCCATTCTGAAAAGAGGCACCTATAAAACCTGTGCTGTGGGCATTGGCCCTTGTGCTCACATCACCCCCCCCCCCCAAGAAGTAGCACCCAGTGCTGTTTTCACACTATTTACAGCTATAATTATCTACACAGCTCCCACCGTGGAGGGTCCCAGGACTAGTATTGCAGCTCAAGAAATCATAAGGCCTTGTCCTGATCAGGTAGCCCCTACTGGGTCTCTAAATAGGGTGAGTGCAAAGCAGACACCCCCTTTAGCCTCCTTCTCTCCTCAGTGACTCCATAACTACCCACAGGGAGGCAGCTGTTCTGGGGCCTGCTGCCCTGGACTCCCTGGGGCCTGGGCTCATCAAGCACTGAGGCCAGTATACTGGCAGGTAGAGGTGTTATGTAGCCTGGAAGGGGGTGGTGCAAAGCCCAAGCCCCTCTACCACTATTTGAGGACAAAGTGACCAAGGCCACTTTCATATCCCATCACTGCTATGGCTTTTCCCTCCTGTAGGAAGCAAAGGATAGGACAAGAGAGGAAGTGAGATAGTCCAGAGTGGCCTGTGGAGTCTTGGGAGGGCAAGTAGGCATGAGGATGGTAGGCTGGTCCCCAGCCGTCAGCAAAGCCGTCAGCAGGTCAGAGTGCCTGGGTGGCAGCCCTTGCCCACACTGTCACAGCACTCTGCAGCCCCTTTCCAGAGCTGGACCTAGTCAGAGCACCCCAGGTCCACAATGGGAGGAGGGGCAGGTAGACTGGAAGGTACCCTGTTCCCCTGGACTCTACCTCCCCAGCAGTGTGTGTGGCCTTCACCGCCAGGGTCCAGGCTGACAGGGGCCTGGGTATGAAGTCCTTGGCGGATGGGAGACGGGAAACACCTGGAAGAATGGAGGCCTGACATCAAACCAAGCATTGAGGACAACCCGGGCCCCGTGGATCAGGAGAGACACATCCCAGCTTAGCACACCAGTCAGTGGTAGGCACAGGCCAGCTGGGGACACCTGTCCCCAGCCAGGCTCCCTCTCCCCCGAACTCAAAGCCTCCAGGGATTTCTCCCTGTTAAGAGGGATGTTGCCCCTTGCTAGAGGTAGCTGTGGCCTGGAAGCCACCCTGGACCCCCCATATAAGGCAAACTAGTATTTGTGTGGCTGTCTCCTCACCAGCTTGTCCAGATCCTCCACAACCCTGTGCTGTGGCCTCCATGTGCACACTGCCTCCTCCACTATCATGTTCCCATTCCTGACTCCTGCTCCAGGCACAGCTAGGCACTGCTGCCTGTGGTCACAGCAGGGAGGGAGACACAGCTCCCGCCTGGCCCAGGCTGGGAGGAGGGCACTGCCTGTCCCATGCCTCTCTCTGCCCCACTTCATGCAGAGACATGAGTGGCCTGAGAACAAGAGTCTCTTTCAGGGACACCCACACTCAGAGGGCCCAGGCTGTTCAGATAGAGAAGGAGGTAGGGGCCAGACCCTCTCATGTTGCAGGGTCCTGCAGCAGGGAGATGGGCCGAGTCTCTGAGGGACAGGGGATGGGAGGTCACCTCTGAGAAGAGTGACTAGTGAGCAGTGTAGGTGGGATCCATGCAGACCATACTGGGTCAGCCAGCCTAGCCTCAGCGCCCAGAGATCCCTGGTGAACATCATGGCCACTGTAAGAAAACGTGAATCCAAAGAGGGTTGCCTCTTCCTGGGACCTGGCATCCTCATTTCCCAGCCAGAACTGTAAGCAGCACGTTGCACCCAGCCTGAGGACCTTGCTCACCCAGTTGGGCCTGACAGCCTCCCCGGGGCCAATTGATTGGCTAAGGAATGCTGAGCAGGAGCCAGAGAGACTTGTGCACTAAGCTGGTAGTAGGCCAAGTGAATAGGGTCTGTCAGGGCACAGCTGGCCCACTGCAGTAGTTACAGGGTCTAGTCTTACTGAGATGACCTCTTGGAAACAGCCTTGTGCCCTCCCTGAGCCCTGGCTGCCACTGCTCTTAGCTGTATTGGAGGACCCAAGAGCTGTCCCTCCCCTGCTCTTGTTTGTCTTTGTTCTCTGCGTCCGTGGAAGGGCCCTTTGGAACCTGGACAGTGGCGGGAGGTGGGGACTGCAGCCTGGCATATGAGTGGACAGAAGACATACTTCCCATCCTGGGCATGGACAGAGATGAGGCCTGACTCTCTGAGGCCAGACCAGTATATCCCATTTTGCACCTGAATCCTGAAGTGAGTCCACCCTTCCCTAATTGGAGAGGCCTTGCCAAGGACAGCTGGGGGATCAGGAGGTTACAGGGGACTGCTGGAGACATTTTCAAGTGTGCCTGGTCTTGGGGAGAGAAGCTAAGCAGAGGTACTCAGGGGTGAACTGAACTCCCTATGACCACATGCCCCTGAATACAGTCCTTTGAGTAGAAGGATGTTGTGGCCAGGAGCTGGAGTCCACAACATACTAGCCCACCCTCATGCTCCTGCCCACTCACCTGCGGAGTCTGACAAGCCCCTGACCCTAGATCTGTGTCCATTTCCCCTCCACTGATGGGGTTAAGCTACAGGAGGTACTACCCAGGCTGCTGCAGTGCTCAGGTGGCTCCCTCCCCAGCTCTCAGAATCTTCAGAATGTTGTCGGAGGGGCCCAGGCTGTGCAGGTATGCCCTTTTGCTTTGCGCCTTGTGCAGCTGCGGGGTCAGATCCAGAAAGGGGCCCCTCTAGTGACTTTGCAAGTCTAGAGCAGCTCCGGTCCCCACCTCATCCCAGAGCTGGTGGAAGTGAAAGCTGGCTTCCTGGCGTGGGTGTCCCCACCCTTCCTGTTCCCCCTTGTCTGGGTAGGCCTCCTCTGGGGAGGAAGACACTGTGAGACCACTCCAACCTGCCCACAGAATCCCAGATACACCAGTGCCCAGCACCAGCTGCTCTGTGCAGACCCTCCTCCTCATGGCGGTCAGGGACGGGGGTGCAGCCCCCAGCAGGCATATCC